CCCCCCCATGTACCAGGTCCACTGGACCAACAGAAACGAGAGCTCACGTCATCCTTCTTTCAGATCGCCCATCAGTGTAACCTGAATCTCAAATGGATAACCGCCACCACACACACACACACTTCCTCATATACACGTGCATTTGCAGACAAGCAATGATAGCATTATAACTTATTACTGAGGACACTGTTTCTGGATCAGCTAACATGATGATCAATAATTATAGATTTTTGTCTGTTTAATGTGAAATTCAAGAACTCGGGTAATGCCAAGGTTTTTACTTGTAAAACAGAGTTGGCTTTAGTGTACTTAGGGAAGGGAAGGTGTACCCAATGAAGGTACACCTCCAAAAGACTGCACATCTTCGGCAATCCAAACAGAACTTGTTAGTAATTTTACAATAGCTCACTGTAACAAAATGCTACTAGTTGTAAATAACCCCCATCCAGTAAGTATTTCAGTATGTGATACATTTCAAGTAACGATGCATATATATTTAAAATTACAATAGCAAACCAAAAAGTAAAATTGTATTGTGCAGCAGTTCCATTCCATTTGAGACTCGACAATTTCTTATGTCCTGTTAGCATGTCCTGTGACTGGACAGTACCAACTATATTGCTATGTAAAAGTTAATGGAGAAATTATCTCTCGTGAAATAAAAAGATTTTGGTTGAATCCATTTCCTGAAAACTCAGACTTTATGTACTATGCCCGCCTGTTACAAATAAACAAAGGTAATTGCAAATTTATGAAAAATACAATAAAAATAAACATTTTGCATCTGTTTCATTCCCTTGTTAAGGAAGACCAGCCCACCTTTTCTTTTAAGATACAATGATTAAGGAAAATCTCATCTGAGGCTTTGAGAGTATGTTTTTACTGAGCGTAAAATCAAACAATAAATTCATAATCAGGCACTGAGAATATAATATCCAGCCACATTCTAAAGTATCTGTAACCATAAACTGTTTTAATTTTATGACCATAAATGGTTTGAATAGGTGACCTAGTGAATAGCATGTGCTTGTAATTTCAGTTAAAAACAAGTTTATGCTTGAAAAGAAACCAGAAAAAAATGTACATTACAATTTCAGTTTATTACAATTATTACAGCTGTATTATTTTTATTCAAGTGAATAAATTAACAAGGAGCCTTAAATTTCTGTTCAAGGTTCCTTGTTCCAAAAACCTAGATCAGAGTAGTATTATTTTGTTTTGAATATTAGTATAATGGATTAATGATGCAAAAATGTCAAGTGTTCTTTTTACTTGTGTTTACTGCCAGTTGTTTTTTCTTCCAATAGAAACACTGTTGTTAGGTCAGATTGGGTTCTAAGATCCATACGCTGTTTCCTTAAAAAAATAGATTCTCTTATTCCCTTCATCACCAGCAGAGAGCAGCAAAGGAAACAGAAATGTGCAGTCTCTCTAAAGGCAGCAGTGTCATGGAACTAAATGAAGCAGTCAGGTTCAGTGCACCAGTGTTAAAAAGAAAAAAAGAAAAAAGGAAAACAACATTATTGCAGTTGTGGAGTGATTCAGCAAATCTGTCCCATTCATGATTACTAGAAGAAATAAATGCTGCTGATGCTGCTGTAGCTGACTGAGTCAGTGAAACCGATCAGGCAGAATGTGTGAACAGAAATAGAGGTGTGAGATTGTGTCCCTGTCACTTGTGCTGAAATTTCAAACTCCTAACATTAGCGGCATTGACAGAGAGAGACCTTGACACCCGTCTGCTTGGAGTGGGCGCGCACACTCACATGCAGGAGCTGTCAACTTCAATTCTATCAGCCACCACTATGGAGGGTGCAATGCAGTTAAGATTCAGACTGACCCACTTTCTCCCGTTTAGGGGGAAGCCTGTAACTTGGTGGTTGGAAGCCACTGTTCTCTGCTCACTGGTCCCCCTCTGGACTGAGTGGTGTGTCCCATTTGCTCTGCTGGCTCACAGTAGGACAGCCTGTACCCAAGTTCACCCTTTTCATGGTCTTGTCTCATTTTTATTTGAACACTTTTTATGTCATTCTTTTCCATTTTTATTTGGAAAAGTCTGTAGTATGTAATAAAAGAAACTAAACGCATACATCATTTAAACTGCGACAAAATAAAAAGTCCTTACAGACTTTATAGATTTATGAACTTGTAAATTGGGGGTTAACCATACCGTGACTAGAATATTTACCGTATTTCGACCATTGTAATCCGTCTCATGGTCCTTTCTGACCTATTAAATCTTCACTACACATTTACCTCATTTGCTAAGGATGGAGAGCATTTTCACAGCAGCAGAGGAAGTAGCTGTGTCTGCAGCAGTCAGCTGGCTGTTAGCACACAGCCTCCTTAAATCCCTTACACAATGAAAAATTTCCTGTGACTCTGGCTCACATGCACATTAACACTCATGCAAGGACACGCTCGTACACACTCAGAGCCTTTTGTAGCCACATCTGTTCACATGGAGGGTTTTCATGTACATCTGGGATGGGTAATTCCCTGTTTGTGTGTTGAAATATGTGATGAGGATGAGAGTGTGAGTGGTTCTTATGTTCATTTTTCATCAGCCCTTTTCAGTCATCATCCCTCTTGTTCGTGTTTGATAGGACCATACGAGGGGAGGGATTCATTTTTTGAGCACCTGTAGGTGTGTGTATGCCTGTGTTTTTGTGTGAGGACTGAAATCTAACTGCTGTACAAGGTGGAAGAAAAGAAAACTGAAGAAAGGAAAAAGAGGAATATGCAACAGTTTTTTAAAAATATTTTATTTTTCACTGAATTTGGGTTAACGCTTCTTTAAAGTCTTTTTTTCAGTCATTTCGGAGTAATTAGTCAATATTTTTCTGTTTTTTCTTTTAGTATTAGCATAATGCTGATGCAAAACAAGGCCTAATAACTTTTTATAATTTATATAGTATGGCATTTTTTTTGACAAATATAAAAAGTGAAGGTGTTTAGTTTGCTTCAGGCAGAATTTATAAACTTTAGCACCAAGGAAAACACACAGAAAAGTAGAAGGGTGAAGTCATGGCCCACGCTGCAGCCCATCTTAAGAAAGCTCGCGAGCTTGAGCAACATCCAGACTACAGAGCTTTGCAGAAAGCCAGGGAGAAGAGGAGACGGCAGCGGGAAAGAGCTGAACGAAAGCGTCAGGTAAAATCTGTCACACGTGGTGTGTATCATGACAATTTCATTACCACATTCTGTGGTGGCCTTATCGTACACTTTGGTGTTACTGTAGGACAACATGAAAAGGGGCTGTGGGATTTGCACAGATGTGGAGGTGGTTGAAATCGCACTAGGTAACGGATAAAGTACAATGTCAAAGAAATAGTACTGTACCACTGTCTACCATAAATAGTATAATTTTTTAAAAAGATTTTCACCGTCTTTGTTTTAACCTTCATGGCAATACAAGCCCCTACCAATACTAGTGCACATATGTTCATAGTGACCTCGTGTACATAAAGCAGCTGTTAATGAGACATTCGTGATAATAAGTAGAGTTTTGATTTTCATCCAGTGTAAGCATACTTGTGTTGTCCTTCATTACATGACTGACTCCAGGCGAATCTGTGCAAATCCTGTACGGATACAGAGATTACAGCTGGATCTCAATCAATCTAATCTCTGCATGTGGAGTTTGGCAAACAGCTGAATCAGGCAGGCAGACGAGTAAAAACTCAAAAAGTGGAGACTGAAGAATACACACCACACACACGCACACACACACACACACACACACACACACACACACACACACAACCACACACACACAGACACACACAACAGAAACGCACACACACACAAATACGCACACACACACACACAAAACGAGTTCTGTCTAGTGAAAAATTCTATGTAAGGTTGAAATTAGATTGCTTGTACTAACCGGATCTGACTTGGTCCATTTTTCAGTGGTTTCGGTCAGCCTCCCATATGTCCCGTTATGCATGAGCAACACATGTACAGCAGCACAGCCAAACAGTTGCATACACACTCACAGCCACACACTAACATGTCATTAGTGTTGTAAAGACTCACTTCTTGATGCATTCTCAATCATCCAGGTAAGTAAATCTCCAAAAGTTGATTCTGTTCATCTGGACGTAGCGTTTTCAGTGGGAGAAACGTTTCGTCACTCATCCAAGTGACTTCTTCAGTCTCAGCTGACTGCAGGTTTCCCCAACCTTATAAACAGTACTGTTTATAAGGTTGGGGATAAACAGTACTGTCAACTTTTGGAGGTAAAGTCTCACTGTTCACTACCATGAAAAACCTTTGTAACAGCAAACCTAATCAAACACTTAAATCACCACCATGAACATTTATAAGAAAGTAACCAAGGCAAAGGGACTAAAGCTAAAGCCGTCCAGAGCTCAGAGCCAATCCAAGCCAGCAGCCTCGGTATGAGCAAAGGATCGAAGGAGTTATGTAGACAATTATAGAGATGAGTAAAAATGAAGGAAGTGCTGAAAGCCTGTTATAAACATGCTGAAAAAAGATGAAAGTGTTTTTGTTGTCGTTGTTATATATATCTGTTGCTTTTGTTTGGTAAGGAAAAATATATCAGACATTTCAGTTAACTGTTTATGCTTCAGCTAATTTTGCTTTGAAGAGCAGTTATAGTTCTTAGAAAGAAGAGAATCAGAATCATCAAAAATCTGTATTACCATGTCAGACTTGCAAAAAAACATGGAATTGGCCAAAGAAATCTCAATTAGTGCATTTCTTATTTAAATCTTTTTATTGCTGTGTTCATTTTTAAATTTTGTCTCAGAATCCTGACCCTTGGTGTTCCTGAAAGCACCGTAGGCCATGTGGTCTACATTCTGAGTGAAACTCAGCTGTTATGCACCCTACCATGAACACACACACACCCATCAGTGGGTTGTGTCTGTGGAACTGAAGGTCTAGAATGGTAAAAATAGCTAAGACAGGAGAAACAGTAAGGGTTAAATGTTTATGGCTGCAGTTGTTATCTTACTGCGAGAGAGGAGAGGCAGCGGAAGAGTAGGCAGGACTGGGCCTTGACCACAGTACATCGTACATTAAGTCAGAGCTAGAGGCTGATCCTCAGTAGCTTGCACTGTGATAAAAGGAAACAACAAGGAAATGTAGTAGAATTAATTAGAAAAGGAAGCAAGATTTGGTAATTTATTAAATATGTTTGAACCGAAGATATGTACAAATTTATTGGACTGTAGGATTAAAGGATGCCAGTAATCAGGAGTGTACTGAGAGATGCAAAGTGAGAAACTGCAAGAATTTGACAAAGTGGCCAAAGAGAGTAAAGAAAGGCGACAATATTCAGGTAAAGCTGGGAATTCTTTTCCTGTCTGAATGGTAACCATGGGAAATGCAGCAACATGTAAGATATGTGGATCAGATAAAGCTTCAAAGACCGTTGGGATTGACTATGCCTCAAATCAACATACTGATTACTACAAGGCTGCTGACACTGGATCTAACGTTGATGATTTACTGGTAAGAGATGGAAAAAGCAGACTTAGGTTGTTATAATTTCTTTTTCTGTTAATGTCCTTTTTTGTGAGAAACAAACATGTTTGTTTGTCCCGTGTTCAGCAAATGAAAATAAAATAAACAATAAAAGCAAAGGTGAATCAAATAGACCAATACAGCAAGGCTGGGATGGTCCATTTGGTAAAGTAAATCCATTGGGCATCTTTCTTTGCCTTTAGACAACAATTCTGATGGCAAAAGAACCAAACGAGACGGGCAAAAAAAAAAAAGAAGAAACAAACATGTTAATGTCTGATGGTTTGTTTGGGATTGTGCGACATTGCACGTGAAGGGTAATCCACATAGGGGGTGTGGTATGATTGTTGACATGTATTGCGAAGTTTGATGACCTTACAAGTTAACGCCCACTTTAACACTTTAACCTTGCTGAAAAGAGGTTAGAAACTTGTTGACACTCTCAAGATAATGAAGACACTACTAATGTTCATATACTGTGATATTCAGCAAATAAAGCGATACATCGGTATATTTTGATTATTCAAATATCAGATGTCATGCAATGAAAAATTCTATTTTGGGCCAAAATCATTACAGAGGTAATGACAGGCCATCGTCAGAAAGTCATCACTTCCTTTGACTTTGTTTTGTTTTAACGAACAATTCTAACAAAAAATGAACACATTTTGAATAAAATGAAAACAAGTCTTACACCAGGAGAACAAGAAATGCTGGAAGGCTTGAGATCAAACAGTAATAGATTGGGAACAAGTGCGGCAGTTTAAAGCAGGTAATATTTATCAGTGCAGGACAGACAAAAATGGAGGAAAAAATAGTAAAGACACAAGTAAAACTAAAAAAAGACACCAGGAATGGCTAAATAAAACAGAAATAAACTTAAGCCTGAACAAAAAAAAAACACGACATCAAAATGCAAATTTAGTATGACAACCTGATGTAGGGATCAAGGTTAGAATCTCCATGAAATGAATGTAAGTCAACATAATGTCCTCTGGCAATGTGGAAACGTGACTCTGTGTGTGCATGTGTGTGTGTGCACGCGTGCGCAGCTGCTTTGTGATGGTTACATTTAGAGTAGCCTAGTAGGCCACTGATACTGTACAAGCAGCTATGTAGCCATATAAAAACACATGATTGACCCTTTATTTTATGTCTTCACATTAAAAGAGCTTTAAGGAACAAACCCATCGTGTGTGTGTGTGTGTGTGTGTGTGTGTTGATTGGATGTGAGTTTATGGCTGTGTGTGTGTGTGTTTTTGTGTGTGTGTGTGTGTGTGTGTGTGTGTGTGAGAAAAATACTGTTTTGTCTGATAAATGGAATGTGGCCTTTAATGTTGTTACTGTAATATTGCATGTGGCACTTTTATCAGAATGACACAGTAACAAAATAAATTAGAAACATTTGCTTATTTACCTGTTATTAATATTACCCTAATTTCTGTTTTATCTCTGTAGTCGGACAGTAACACCAGTTTCCTCCGGGCTGCCAGAGCTGGAAACATTGACAAAGTCCTTGAATTCCTGAAGAACGGGGTTGACATCAGCACATGTAACCAGGTAAGAAAACGTAAACAACATTGGATTTTGTTTGAATTCTTGTATGCAGTTGCATTAATTTGAAGAGAGGCGATAAAAATAAAAACTGTGACAAATTTTCAGGTTTTATGGAGGTATATTTTTCAAAACTCCATCTTTGTGTTTTTAATTTTAAATAATACTTTTTAAGTTTTTAGTTTTTTTTTTTAATCTAAATATTTATTACAACTTTCCAGAACTGATATAGCAATTGTGTGAAATAATATCTAAAATCTGCTGTTTAGTGCTTCAATGCAAGCTACTGTCAAACCTGCTCAAGCTAACCTTCGCCCTGCCGTGTCATGATGGCATCACACAGCGAGTACCTTAACCTGCCATATCCCTTTACATACTCACAGCTACCCTCATAGCACCCATTCTTCCCCCCAATCTCAGCAGCTTTTGAAAAGGTCTGTCTCCGTGACAGCTGTTCTCGTCCCCTCCCCATACTCGCCCTGTCCCACATTCCGCCGAAGGGGAGGGATTGGAGAGGTTAAAATATTTCCCCCTACTCCTCTCTCCTGTCTACGTCAATGTGATTTACAGAAGTCACAAGACAGCCTAAAGGAGTGAGGCTACGTGAGCGTATGTGTTGTGTGTGTGCGTGCATATCGTTATTTTTTACTGTGTCATTGCTTGACTGTTATAGCTGGTTTGCAGCTATAAAAAGCCAACCCGTAGCTCTGCTGTTTGTTATCATGGGCACCATGGGCTCTGTTTTGTGCCCCGAGAGGGAAGCCTGAATATAGAAAGCTGTGCACACACTAATCTTCACATGCACATACACACAGACATGTACATAGGCACACACACCTCCTGTCCTGCAACAGGAGAGCCTTGCCCTAATAGGATTTCTCGGTGGTCAGATGATCAAATTTGAGACCTTGTCAAGTGACCAAAAAATGTAAGGGACATTTTTATACATATCCCAGTTATTCCCTCATTATTGTGTGTGTAGAGGCCAGTATAATGTGCAGTGAATGTAATTTTGGACCTAAGCACGTTAAATATCTCCCAGCACATATGAACATAAGCTATAGACTTTATTTTATTCCAGTGATGTGTAAGTAAACCAAATTAAAGTTATAACATGCACATAAATGCATTACTTTTTTTCTCTTAGTGTTTTCAATAGCCAAATGTAAAATAATATAAAATAATGTGTGCATCTGTGTATTTGTCTCTAATTCTGATTGCACGTGCTTAAATACATAATCATACATTCACAGATTCACAGATCATTTCTACACTTTTTCCACCTACAGATATATGCTGTGTTACAGGCAGGGAAGTCTGTTGTGTCTTTACCTTTTTACTCACAAATTTTAAGAGGAAAGACACTGACAGTATGGTTAAGTTAAAGCACACATCACTGGTCTTAATTTCTGCTGAATGTGTATGACAGCTGATGAGTGATGTCTCTAGAATGATTTTGTTAAGTCAAAGCACAACAGGCAGTGACATGACCGTACTGGAAGTGATGGCATGAGCCCAGGATTAATGCTTTTGATTACTGCAGTAAGATAAAAATTTTTTTAAAAAAAATCACAATAATTCTGTGCATAAATGCAAATTTTCTCCAAAGACTTGAACGAATCACGGAAAAGCATCATTATCACAAAGCCATTATCTGAAATAATGTCCGATAATGAGTCATTAGAGTTAGTAGTCTATTGACAAGAGCCGGATAATGTGACATTGCAGTTGAATGACCCAATTTCCTTTTGCTTGTTTTAATGCGTTTCTGATTACCGTTCACAATGCAATCAAATACAGGAACTGTATCTTAGCATTTTATCATGTTTAATGTTATTCATGGTTTCTTTAAAAAGTCTATCCATCCACAAAACACCAAAGGAAGCTGCAAATGTCACACACTAAGTCATGCACATATTTTGAGTATCGCCCTTGGTGCTATATTCATTAATAACTGAAGAGTAAAAACCTAGAAAGCACGAAGAGAGTGGCAAGGGCCAGAAAGTGGCGCCAAGGGCAGAAGGCTGCCCAAGTTAGTAGAAGAGAGAGTGAGGGGTATATTCCTAGCTTGCCAAAGCCACTGTCATACTATGATTCTCCATTGCACAGATTTTATGAATGAGATATATAAATAAAGTTGTAATGTTTTTTACAGATGATGTTTGTTCTTCCCGTTTTTAAGCATGGTGTGTTTGAGTTTTAGGATTTCAAAAGAGAATGAGTCACTACAGCTTATTCTGCATTTTAATACAATATGCCCATGTGCTTGTATTTGCGTGTTAAGAGTGTGTATAAGAACTGTTTCGCTCTTCACAATTAAAGGCCAGATTTCCCTTCTAATCTACTTAAAATTTTAATCCTTGGTGAGTAATATTACTCTTTACTTTAATCCGCATGCATTTACATTATTTGCTCCAAAATCTATCCCACTGTGACATTTATGACATTTACATTATTTCCTCCAACATCTTTCCCCTGTGACATTTGAGACAATAAAACGGCACCAAGTAAGCATGGTTGTTTATACCATGTGTGCTTATAACAAAGGTCAGCGGTCAAAGCAGCTTGAATGACAATCTGCGCTGGATGAAGCTCAACATTTTGTCTCCTGCTAGGGGAAGCAACAAAGTGCCAGGGATCACGATGTCCATTAGCTAAATGAAGCTTTTAGGAACAACTGAGCTCAGAGGGAAAGGAGATTTAGATCGGTTTGTGTGACTGTGTGTGTGTTTTGTAGGGTTTTCTTGTCTCTCCTGAAATACATAATGGCTGAAATGTGGCTGAAAGTATGATTATTTTGTGCCGTGTCAGTGAGTCTATCATTTCAGAACTGAAGTATAACTGAGGCTGGACTTTCTGCTTCTCAAATGTCAGCAAAGAGCATCTGATATAGCCTAGACTATTTTTTTCTCTTTTCATTCGTTGCCAGTTCAGTGGAAAAAGTCACAGATGGACTAACTGCATACTGATTTAAAATATACTGAAGTGATGATGATATTAGAAGGTTTGGCCATGCGACCGGACAAACATGATATGCAGTGTGATCATTGTGGAAGTGATAATGACAATTAAAAAAAATCAGCAAGAACATATATTAAAATTTAAAGTCTTTACTTATCAAAAGTGAGTGCTTGCTATGATGAGTCAGTTGCAGACCTTGCAGACCTGCGTGATGATGATTTAAGTGTTTGATTAGACTTGATTAGACTGTGAGGAGCTTTCACACTTTAAGCGACTGTGCTGTGAGAGCATGTGTGACTATTTTAGCGTGATGCAGTGTGACCAACTCATAATCTGACATACAACTGATTGAGAATGTGTCATAGACTGTCGATCGGTGGATCTCTGCAGATTTGATTAAGACACATAACAGACACTGGACTAGTGCCATTTGTGCCGCTTTAGTCGTAGCTCATTAGAAAGTGTTTGCACAAACTGAAGGCATTTATGCCTTCTTAGGTTTTATGGATGTACCATAGTGATACGAACTATGTGTCATTTTTCACTCTTTTTAAAGTCATGTTATAAATCACTCAGCCAGACAGTCACTGATATACTTTGGCCTTTGAGGAATGCCCCCCTTTTTATTTTAAAGGCTGACATTTTCAGTTGCTTCTAAATATGATTATCTATGTTTGGATGTGTGTTTGGGTTCCCTCTATGACTGTGCAGAAATATGACACCCTCTTTGGCTGTTTGGCATTTAGCAACTCGCGAGAAAGAAAGAGAGGGCGTGTTTCTATTTGTGTGTGAATGTATATGCATGATGTACATGTGCTATGGAGGGGAAAAGGCAATGATAGAGGGGTTAGCAACAGCTCCTCTTTTATATCACTGCCCAAAAAGCATCCAGAGCTTAGAGGCACATTTCCTTGTTGTCATTCATCTGAATTAGCCTGCAGGAAGAGGACAGAGCACATAAACCTAGAAAGCTGGTTCTAAACCAGTATAGAGGAAGCAGGAGGTGGAGGACTGGTTGGAGTTCCATCACCAAAGACAAAAGAAAACAGAGCAAAGGATTCATGAAGGCACAGAATACCCAAAGGAGCGGGCATTTTGAAAGATAAAAAAAAGAGCAACATTTCAAAGATCCAAAGCACAGGATGGAAGAAAAGGAGGATGAGGTGAATGGTTTTTGTTTTGTTTAGAGTTTGTTTCTGTGTGTAAATGTCAGCGTCAGAAGAGGTACTGTGAGTTTTCGAGTGGGGATAAATCAGTTGTGTTGTAAGGGCTTGTTGGAGTGCAACATTTGAGGTCTGCTCTCCTCTTGTGCTGCTATAGTTCCTGTTGATAAATCTGAGGTGAGGCCTTTGTTATGAGCGAATTGAACTGTGAAAAATCAGCCAGTTTTTTAACCCAAATAGTTTTTCTTCTGTTTCCATTCTTAAATGTCAATCTCTCCAACTGTGAATGAAATGAATGCCATAAATCATGTACAGTATAATGCAATGTCAAGTTGGATTATACCTTCATAAGTGACTATAAACTTAATCAAGATTTTTTATTGTTGCCAATTTTACAAAAATTCACACTTGTACTATAGTTTTCCTTTTTTGCAGGAGTATACATTATTCCATTAGATTGTTATTGAGCCAATTTCCAGTAGATATCGCTTTATGTCCTGTAATGTTGGTATGCCTTATCTTTGATACAGGGGGGTTGTAATATGATTCCCTGAGCACCACGCAGTTTCATTTTTTCTTCACGTGTTTTCTTGAAATCTTCTCTTGTTTTCTGTTTAGAATGGTCTCAATGCGTTACACCTGGCGGCTAAGGAGGGGCACAAGGAATTGGTGGAGGAACTGCTACAGAGAGGAGCATCTGTTGACTCTTCCACCAAGGTACACACATGATTTAGCTTTATAGGTTCTTTAATTGATATAATTCAGTTAATATAATTGTTGCTTTAATCGCTCACTATATATCTAATGGGTTTTTCTTTGGCTTGCATTGGCAAAGATAACTTTTTAAAGATAAAGCTAAATTTTTAAAAAAAAGGGGAAAAAAAGATAAGAAAATTATTTTAACCAAAGGAGAAAGAAGGAGATGATGGAAAGGAATTAAATAAGTTGTAAAATACCATAAAAATCATTCCTTCTTTAGTGAATTAAGGAGCCATTGGGGTGGATATGAGGGTGATTTAAGATGATTATGAGAGTTTGATTGTTTGTTTCTTCAGACATTCAGTTTTATTAATTAATAAAATATTACTAATTGTATCATATATAAACTTAGCACAATGAGTCAGGAAATTTTTGATTGGCTGATGACTTGTTTGTTGTAACAATGTTTCTTGGCAGTAAATGTTGGAAGCCCTGTTTAATTTTTTTCCATTAAATGGTGCCACATTGGTAAGGAAATTGCATTTGTGGGTTGAGCAGCAGAGTTGAGTGTGTCGGTTGCGCCCATGAAAAACCTCTCTGCCAATCCCAAACAGCTTCTTCTACTAATGACTTGTGCTTTGTGCCTCTGTTGTTAAATTATTATTATTATTATATGGCCAATATGTTTTGTATACTCAACTCTGCTGCTCAACCCTTTCCAACAGTATAAGATTTATTGCCAAGAAGCATTGTTACAACAAAGAGATCCTTACTTTTTGTGCTAAGTTTAGATATTGTACCATTCAGTCGGAAGGAGTAAGAGAAGGCGAGAGTGAATGTGTAGTGCGCTTTTTGGCAAGCTGCTTGTTATGTGAGTCTGTGACTGCCTCATGACTCAGGCTCAACAGCTAGCAGCAGTGAACAGCTGACAAAGAATCTATCACTCTGCTGTTTGTGTCCTTCGAGTGACTTGAATACGTTTCTTGGAATTAAACCCAACTTTTACATCCTAAACATTAAAGCAGAAATGAAATGTTTGAATAATGTGATTTTAGCCCTGTAACACCAAGTGTATGTATATTTTTTATATGTGTCAAACATTTCAATAAACATTCATTTTCAAAAATCTGAATTTTCTGGAATTTTCAGGGTTAAGACTGAGGGAGGTCAGAGAGGACAGATATTTGGTTGGTGATCTTAACCCTGTTTTCTCTTTGCAGAAAGGAAACACTGCCCTCCATATTGCCTCTTTGGCTGGACAAAAAGAAGTAGTCAAATTGTTGGTGTCAAGAGGAGCAGATGTCAATTCTCAGTCACAGGTGAGAATTAACAAGAACTTTTACAAAATGCATCAGCATGCAACACAAGCAACAAGTATATGATGTGGTTTGTCTTCAGAATGGCTTCACGCCACTCTACATGGCGGCTCAGGAGAATCACTTGGAGGTCGTGCGATACCTCTTGGAAAATGAAGGAAATCAAAGCATTGCAACAGAGGTATGTTTTTCTTTCATATTGTTATATATACAATTATTGAAGGTAAAAACAATATGTAATATCTTGCCTATTTTCTTTTCTTTTCTCTATGAAGCCTGTAACCATTTAACTTTTTTTCCCCTGTGCTCCTCCAGGATGGCTTTACTCCACTTGCTATTGCTCTTCAGCAGGGGCACAACTCAGTTGTCTCCTTGTTGTTGGAGCATGACACTAAGGGTAAGGTACGCCTTCCAGCCCTGCACATTGCTGCCCGCAAAGACGACACAAAGTCTGCTGCACTGCTGCTTCAGAATGACCACAACGCTGATGTCCAGTCTAAGGTAAGGGAGGGCAACAGGGACAAGTTACATTTTATTGTTTGTGGGTTCCTTAGGGAACAATAATAAAACGGACAGACCAGGCCTCTCTGAAAATGCTGTATTGTACAGGTCCTTATTTTTTATTTTCAAACTGTGCAAACTTATAAACATACTCAGTGTTTTAAATAAAAAAAAATACTGAGTGTTTCCCCTAACAGCCCTTCACCCTATTCCCCTTTTCTCTCTCTATGCATCATAACCAGATGATGGTCAATAGAACCACAGAGGTATACAGACTTATCACTTCCTCCTTTAATTCTGAATTTTGTCACTTCTGACCATTTTTTTCAGCTCTTTTGTTTTGATCTTGTCCTTACTTATTGAGGACTTTTGTGACATAGGGATACCCTGCATGCCAGAGTTTGCTGTATTAGACACTGCATGGCTGACAGTAAAACACAATGTGTTTTATTGACAATCCCCAGAGAATGTCAGTTAATTACTGATAATTTATTTTATAGATTTTTGTTGTTATTTTTAATTGATAGGTCATTGAAATGTATTATGTTTACGAATTTTATACTGAACTGATAACCTGAAAGTAAAATCAGCTTTTTCTTTTACTCCTATCTTTCTACGCGTAACTCAGCGCATGTGTGTCCTTGTGCATGTTGATTTACTTCTCTGAAACACTTTGATCTCTGATCTTTAAGTAAACTTTGTTTCTTAATTAAATTGCACCATGTCTATCAGAATGGGAAGGTAAGGAGTGAACCGACCTGCAATTGTGTACTATGAAAATTTATATATATAGCTAATATATAAATGTTCATTTGTCCACCCAAGTAGAAACACATACTTGCGAGCGTCCATAGTGTTGCTTGGTGCTTATGAGTTATGTTTTGTCCTTTATTTCAATATATTTATGTATCCAAAAAACCAAGTTGATTCACCCGTAGTTTTTTTTAGTAAGCATGGCTGAACTTGAGCAGTTTTGCATGTATTATCTATTGAATGTGCTATTTTGGGATTTGCTCATTTTTATGCTCCTTCTTACACAATGTTTTTCTTTCAGCACGCTCTTTCATCATATTACTACTTCAGCAGAGTCTGCTTCAGTAGAGTCTATTCCTGTATCTAACAATGAAAAGTCTTTCTTACTTTCTTTTGTTCACTTTCATTTTACTTTTCTCCTTTTCGTGATGAGCTGTTCTGCACTCTCTAACCTCTTTTCCTTTCACTCTGTCCCTCTCTATTCTCTCCTTTCCTATCAGAGTGGTTTCACCCCTCTGCACATTGCGGCTCACTATGGTAACGTGAATGTCTCCACCCTGTTGCTGAACAGAGGAGCTGCTGTTGACTTCACAGCCAGGGTACAGCCAAATTCCTACTGTGTGGCTGTTTTTGACTTTGATCATTACAGAAGGGCATGTTATTTACCATCGTAGTGTTCACTTCTAATAAGCTTTTATTAATACATTTACCTCTAGCCCATTAAACGTTACATTTCTTTCTGTATGTTTGTAGCTAAACTACTTTGCTAAGACTTTTACATGCTGTAGTTTTTGATGTACCTTTGTTTCTGTATCTGCCTTGTCAGAATGGAATAACACCTCTACATGTTGCCTCTAAGAGGGGCAACACCAACATGGTGGCCCTGTTATTGGACCGAGGTTCTCAGATAGATGCTAAAACAAGAGTAAGACTCAGATTTTATTAAAACCATAGTGAACAATAAATAAGTGGAATCAACAACTTTCCACGTCCTCTTTCTCAAAATCTTTAAACTGGATTAATGTGTGCGTTTGCTTGTGCATATGTGATTGTTCCGAAGGATGGCTTGACGCCCCTGCACTGTGCAGCCAGGAGTGGACATGATCCTGCAGTTGAGCTTTTGCTGGAAAGAGGAGCCCCCATCCTAGCTAGAACCAAGGTTAGCATATTTGCACTAGTATATCATTTATAATTTATACAATATGAGTACTATTGTTCCTTTTTATATGCCTTTGGTTTTTATCTCGGCTGCTATTCTTTAAATTTTTTGCCTCCATGTAGAATGGACTGTCTCCACTGCACATGTCAGCCCAGGGAGACCACATAGAGTGTGTAAAACTACTGCTGCAACACAAGGCGCCTGTTGATGATGTCACACTCGACTACCTTACCGCGCTGCACGTCGCAGCTCACTGTGGCCACTACAGAGTAACTAAGCTCCTCCTGGACAAGAAGGCCAATCCCAATGCAAGAGCACTGGTAAGGGTTCAAAGAAACAATAAGAGAAGCACCAAAACTGGTATTAACAGAAATTATCATGATATTTACTGATGCACATATTAAGATAAAAAGAGTGACACTATGGATCGTGAATATCTTGCGATTTACTAGTATGCTTATTGATATATATATTTATATATTTCCATATTCTTTCATATAAAATGTTCCTGAGTAATTTCAAACTGCCAACTTGGATTGTGAAGTCAGCATTGATGGTCTGAGTTGGAAATCTGACTTGAGGGGCAGATACAGTTAAAAAATTCTGACTGGGAACACGTATATTCTGACTTTTCACCTTCAAATTAAATGCCTCTTTGGTTTGGAAATGGTCAGAATACAGTTAGTTTTAATGATATATAAGAGTCCCAACAGTAGTAAGCATAGGGTTAATCAGATTATCAGGGGTCAGTTGACCCAAAAAGTTTAATAACTCCTGAAATATAAAATAAGGTTATAAAATTTAAATACTCCAATGCTACCTTTTTACTATAGAGTCATGCATATTCCTGCTAATTTTTCTCTTACTGTCTCTGCCAGAATGGTTTTACTCCTCTCCACATTGCTTGTAAGAAAAACAGAGTGAAGGTGATGGAGCTGCTGGTCAAATACGGTGCCTCCATACAGGCAATTACTGAGGTGAGATTGTTTTGGTGTGTCAGGATTTCATGGATTAGCACAGTATACTTTGTTGCTAACATTGTTCTAAATTTGCATTTAATGCTTCTCCTTGTTACTGCATGTCTCTTTTTTCATTATTGCAGTCTGGTCTGACTCCCATGCACGTAGCTGCTTTCATGGGTCACCTCAACATCGTTTTACTTCTACTGCAGAATGGAGCTTCTCCTGATGTTCGTAACATCGTAAGTAGTAATTTCTTTTATCAGGTCAGCGATCAGCAGTCGGAAATGCACATCACAAAGTAAACACACATTTCATTTGTTTCAGTGCAAACACGTGAAAAAATGTACCCCGTTCTGGTGTACTTTTTGTGTTTAGCACAGTGTCCTAAAGCTTATAAATCTTCTGCCTTTGCTTATCAGCGCGGTGAGACAGCTCTCCATATGGCAGCACGAGCAGGACAGATGGAAGTGGTTCGCTGTTTGCTGAGAAATGGAGCGTTGGTGGATGCCATGGCCAGGGTGAGTCAGCTGTAAACATTAATCACTCTTTCCTTCTGTTTACAGTAAATTTTTATATTTCAAGCACTGGTTTGAATGCCTGATGTCACCTGTCCCAGCTCTGCCTACAACATCACCGTTCATTCTAATTTTACTGCTTTTAAATGACTGCATCATTTCCGTTTATCCTTTTCTTCTATAACATGTACTACCTCTTTTCCCCTCAACTACAGGAGGACCAGACTCCCCTGCACATTGCATCCCGTCTGGGAAAAACAGACATTGTCCAGCTACTATTACAGCACATGGCCTACCCGGATGCTGCCACCACAAATGGCTACACTCCTCTCCACATTTCAGCCAGAGAGGGGCAGGTGGAGACAGCTGCTGTGCTCCTGGAGGCTGGAGCTTCACACTCAATGGCCACCAAGGTGAACAGAGGATGAATGCACGTAGACAGATAAATAACATGTGATAAGTTAAATCAGTGGAATTTTAATTAATCTCTTTTACATCTACAGAAAGGATTCACTCCATTACATGTAGCAGCAAAATATGGAAGCCTCGACGTAGCAAAACTTCTCCTTCAGCGCAGAGCTCTTACTGATGATGCTGGCAAGGTGAGCTGAAGTTGTAGAAGCAGGTTCTGAAACAAAACCCAGCACTGAGGGTAATTGTCTTAATTTCAGAGAGAGACACATTACACTTAATCTTTGAGCATCTGATTGTTTTCTCTGAAACACAAATTATGGAATAAAACTGACTTGAAATAAAAAAAAAAACACACAAAAACACACACACACAAAAATATCACAAAGGCTTGCAAAAAGTTTCATTAAATCAAATGCTTCTTTTCACAGAATGGCTTAACTCCACTACATGTGGCAGCTCATTATGACAACCAAGAGGTGGCGCTGCTGCTCCTGGATAAAGGTGCATCGCCTCATGCTACTGCAAAGGTTAGGCTGAGTTTTAAAGAAAAATAAAGGTCCATGAGAAGCTCACACTTGTTTGCATGTACTGTATTTCTATCATAGTGTATATCTTCTTTCGTTCCTCTGTTTTAGAATGGCTACACTCCTCTCCACATTGCAGCCAAAAAGAACCAGACAAACATTGCTTTAGCGCTACTGCAGTATGGAGCAGAGACCAATGCTTTAACGAAACAGGGAGTCAGCCCTCTGCATCTGGCAGCTCAGGAAGGACATGCAGAGATGGCCAGCCTCCTACTGGGAAAAGGAGCCCATGTGAACACAGCGACAAAGGTCACACAGAAGCACAATCTTTATGACATTTTTATTTATTAAAATAATTTGAAGTGGAAACAAGAAACACATGCACTCTACATACAGCTGTATAAAACTCTTTAGTTCTTAAGCTGAGTGCTCTATAACAACAGTTTTGTCTAATTTGTTCCATGAAGCAATTTATTACTATGTTAAGAAAAGTAATAAAATAAAAAAGTGTGAAGGATGGTAATGTGACATTGCTTTGTGTTTTACAGAGTGGACTAACTCCTCTGCATCTTGCTGCCCAAGAGGACAAAGTCACTGTAACAGAAGTACTAGCCAAACATGATGCCAACTTGGACCAGCAAACCAAAGTACAGACATGCATGTGCATGACAAATTTAACAAGTATACACAAAAGAAAATTGTTACTAGTAATGAAAACCTAACAGTATGCTAATCTACAAGAATTTTCCTGTGTGAATGACAGTATGTCTTGCTTACTTTCTGTTTATTCGCTTTATGTTTACATGTTAATATTTAAGTGTATCATATGGACGTGCATGTAAATACCTGCCATCCAGAGGCTTTTTAAAAACATAACAAAGTCTTCATATACATCATATATTCAGGAAGCATTAAGATTGAGTTTAGTGCTTGCTTACAGAAGATCAGTTTTAATCTCTCACCCTCTCCCCCCTCGCTACAGCTTGGATATACCCCTCTGATTGTCGCCTGTCATTATGGAAATGCCAAGATGGTTAACTTCCTGTTACAACAAGGAGCCAGCGTCAACTCCAAAACCAAGGTTATATTTAAATCTTAAATTTGAAGCATGCAAGCTCTATTTAACTTAAACTGCAGACACAGCATGAAGCAAAACTCAAATATAGCATCCCTTTCGTTTTAGTTTCTACTGTGACTTAACAAAATTTTGTTGTCTTCTTTTTAAACTTTTGCCCCGCAGAATGGTTACACGCCACTTCATCAAGCGGCACAACAAGGGAATACACACATAATTAATGTTTTATTACAACATGGGGCCAAGCCCAATACTACTACAGTGGTAAGACACAATAGAGCCCAAGCATTTACTTTTAACATGTGAAATATGTTGTGGAAAAAGTTCTGCTGGTACGCTATCGTATATCCTTCTCTCTGTTAGAATGGAAATACCGCTCTGTCGATTGCGAAACGTTTGGGTTACATTTCTGTGGTAGACACACTGAAAGTCGTCACTGAGGAGGTCATCACAACCACAACTGTAAGCTCATGATTGCTTTAGCCTCTGGAAATGGAGCCAGGAAATTTTTTTTAACTTAAACTATAACCTTTCTCTGTTTTGGTTGTCTGTTTTCCATGACTCTGAATGGTGTTACATTAGACGGTTACAGAGAAACACAAACTGAATGTTCCAGAGACCATGACTGAGATTCTCGATGTGTCTGATGAAGAGGGTAAGTTACTTAAATGTAGAAAACAAGAATTTAGTGTGCTGCTCATCGATATCAAGCTAATTTTTTTATAGGAAAAAACTACTCCAGTCATGAGACACAATAAGTCACGACTGAGCTTCATTAAAAAATTATACCTCATTGTTCAAAAGTTGTAAAAAAGTGTATGGTAGGTGATGTAGTTTTGGATCTGAAAAAGTGCTCGAAGGGTTGAAGAAGAGCCAATATCTGAGATGTCTGTGGAGCTCATCTTTTCGATCCCCATATTACTTGCATAGTCAATGCAACATATATTACATATATATATATATATATACATGTGAGAGTGTTATTAATTTTTTCATTGTTCATAACAAGGTTTGGCATTTTTGTTGTATCTGTTTTCCAGGCGAGGACACAATGACAGGTGATGGGGGAGAGTATCTAAGAGCAGAGGACCTCCGTGAGCTGGGAGATGACTCTCTGCCAGGACATTATCTAGATGGCTTCAATTACATGAGCCACAACTTGGACAGGTCAGAAACAGCACACACATATTGTATTTGACAAACATCTAAATTTGCTCACAGCAAACCTTCCAGATCTGCTGTTAGCCAAGTTCATCATCATAAGGAATACCTAAGTAATGCAGATATATACAGAAAAGGTCTGAGAAGATTCACCTTGGTTTTTCATCAGGCCCCAACACACTCCCATTCACCAAAGTTTCCATCAAAGAGAAGTTCTCATTGAAGATCTGCTTACAAGTCACCAGGTAAGCGTAGTATCCGTAGTCTAACCTTCAATAAAGTATCTTTAGACACTTGAGGTGAGTTCAAATAGCCTGCTGATGCTTGTTGTTCTTTAGGTGTCAACACTGTCTAGAGAGCATGAAAAGGACTCATTCCGTCTGAGCTGGGGTGCTGAACATCTTGATAATGTTGTGCTGTCCTCCAGTCTGCTACATTCTGGGTATAAACACACACAAACACACACAGAGAAAAACTCACACTCCTTTCTTTCAGAGAAAATCCAAATGTTGGGACTTAACCCAGTTGCAAACTTAACATACACATTCCCATTATGTCTGGAAATACTGAGGGTTTTTTTTAAACCCACAATTTGTAAAATCCACAAGATGCCATACACTTTTTGTGGATTTGCATTAAATCAGCTTAGGGTGCACACTTTATCCAAATTTCTTTAGTAAATTATCCACAATCAAAAGCAGAATTGTCTTTATTGTCACTACACTCAGGTACAGTTTCATTTTGCATGGCGTCTCTTATAGAAATAAATACATTAAGCCCATCTTTGGAAATTCTACCAACCTGTTTATGGTAGCAGTGCCCTCTAAAGGCACATTGACTTCAAAGTAAAATCTATTTTTTTTCACACTTGTAGCATTTTAATTTCAGAGTGAGCTTGGACATTAGAATTCAGACTAAATTCCATCTTTATACACAAAGGTGTACATCTTGGATAAACAGGCTATGTGGGCATTTCTAACTGGATCTTCTCATTTGCATTTTGCTTTGTGTACAGTATGTGCAGCAGCATGTCAAAGGATCAGCTGATATTGATTTTTTTTTTAATGATTTACTTATACTCAAAGCATTATTCTGCCATTGTTGTGTATTTTCTGGTTCTATTTTAGTTTACGTGCCGATAAAGTCACCAAAGTTTAAGACACAAAATGGCATCTCGGTGCTTTGCAAGCCTTTATTTCTGTAAATCTTTCTCCTGTTTGCAGCTGTCCTTCAGCTTATATACCTCCTGCAACAAATTACTGACTGTTCTGCTGCTTGTGCTGGCTAATGCACTACTTCAAGGGTTATCATTATATTCTGAAATAGATATTCCATCTTTTACATGCCCTTATTTTTTTCTGGTGTACTTTTGGTGTATTTTTCATACCTTCTCATGTGTCTTTTCTACTCCTTTTATTTTTCCTGCTGTGTAATTATCTGTCTGGTCAGGTTTTCTCACTTTTACTCATTCTTTTTTCTCTCTTTCTCTTTTGTTTATTTTGTTGTTGCTTCGATGTGCATTCTCTTATCTTCTCTGTGTTTGTGACTCTGTGTGTGTGTGTGTGTGTGTGTGTGTTGTTTTTGTATTCTGCTTCTAGCCGTTCCTCACCATGCCTAGACCATGACAACAGCAGGTGAAGTCTTTATTTTGTCTATTTTCTTATCTCCTTTGTGCCTTTACTTCTTTTTCTTTGTCACTTTTGAATGATTTTCTCATTTCCATCCTGTTTCTCTGCTTTATTTCATAATGAATGCCCTTACATTACCTGAAATAACCTGAAATAACCAGATTTTTTTTTTATCCTTAGTGCAGCTCTAGCTGGCTTTGCCCTGTTTTTAATGCAATTTAATTAAATCAGTTCATAATACAACCTGTGTCCTGACCAGAATCTTGCAAGTTAAAAAATTAAAGCAGAATAAAACCGAAAGTGTTTCTCCAGGATAAAGTGATATTTATTGAGACCTATTTGTTATTAATGTCTCTTCTCAGGTTACAAAAATAGCCTTTTCTTTTACCTTTACTTGATTCAGTTGCCTTGTGAGCATGGAGATTTTGCATCTTTATTTGTTTGAATGTCTAGAAACCAATTCATCCATTTCTGGTGCCTTTTCTTTAGCTTCCTTGTCAGCTTTATGGTAGATGCCAGAGGTGGAGCTATGCGTGGTTGCCGTCACAATGGTTTGCGAATTATTGTCCCACCAAGAAAGTGCTCTGCCCCGACACGGGTGACTTGCAGGCTGGTGAAGAGGCATCGTCTGGCCTCTATGCCACCTATGGTAGAGGGTGAAGGGCTGGCTGGTCGCATTATAGAAGTGGGACCCACTGGAGCCCAGTTCTTGGGGTAAATTTGGTTGAGTGTGCGTGTGTTTGTGTGTGTCTGCGCGCATCTACTAACAGTTTGTGTACTTGCTGGTGGCTTTGTACTATCTGGTATAAGTGTGTTTCAGTAGTTGTGTGGTGTGTTCATACTTTCTTCTTCACTCCCCCTCTGTGCTGCGTATGGATCAGTAAGCTCCACCTACCTACAGCTCCACCCCCTCTGAATGAGGGTGAGAGCTTGGTCAGTCGCATCCTGCAGCTGGGTCCTCCAGGAACCAAGTTCCTCGGGTAGGACCATGTGAGGGTGATACCCAACCACCCTCAAATCCTGGTTACACGCCCACCCGTGTTTTTCCCTTGTCCTAAAATTTGAATTTTTTTTTAGTTTTTCATGATATATATATTAATTATTATAATTTTTTTTTGTGGTGCTTCTTTTCTTTCTTTGAAGAGAAGGACAGCTTTACCACCTGACCTGTTACCTTAACCTGTTGAGTTTTCTTCATGCTTCCCACAAGCACCTATCTCCCCAATCATGTTTCTAGTTGGATTCTATCTCCCCAATCATGTTTCTAGTTGGATTCTATCTCCCCAATCATGTTTCTAGTTGGATTCTGGTCCTGATGTGAAATAGATGTTTATTTGTTTTTATGTTCATAGTTTGTGTTTTGAAATTAATTTTAACTGAGTTTTTATTGTTTTCTTTCTTCGTAAATTCATTCACATGTCAACCTAAACACTATGCTATCATTGATTTTTCTCTGGAGTTAGCGCTGAAAAGCATTAATTAGCATTAGTCCAATTTGTATTTGCTTTTACCTTGTCACACCTTTTAGGCCTGTGATTGTAGAGATCCCCCATTTTGCTGCTCTGCGGGGCACAGAGCGGGAGCTAGTGATCTTAAGGAGTGAAACAGGAGAGAGCTGGAAGGAACACCACTGTGACTTCACTGAAGAGGAACTGAACCAGATACTTAATGGCATGGATGAAAGTAAGGGATCTGAAGTGGCCTGTGATGTATAACTGTGATCGATAGGTTGATATCTCAAAGCATTTTATGTAAAACAATACATGAATGCCATAAAACGAGCAACACTAGAGCAGGAGAGAGTTGTCTTATAGATTTTAAAATGCTAGTATAATAATGTGAAGCACAGTACGTAAATAATAAAGGGAAAAAACAAAGCATTGACTTTATGCTTTCTTTCACAGAACTTGATTCCCCTGAGGAACTTGAAAAGAAAAGAATATGTCGCATCATCACCAGAGACTTCCCACAGTATTTTGCTGTTGTGTCAAGGATAAAGCAGGACAGTCATTTGATTGGTCCAGAGGGCGGGGTCCTCAGTAGTACTCTCGTGCCCCAGGTCCAGGCTGTATTCCCTGAAGGAGCCCTTACTAAGAAGATTAGAGTTGGGCTTCAGGTGTGTACATTCCTTGACTGGTATACCAACAGAATATCCAAATTATGGCTATGAAGAAAAAAAATATGAATACATATTACCACATATCTTGCCCCAGGCTCAGCCTATTGATGTTGACATGGTGAGAAAGATTCTTGGTAATAAAGCAACGTTCAGCCCAATTGTCACATTGGAGCCAAGGAGAAGAAAGTTCCACAAACCCATCACAATGACAATCCCAATTCCCAAGACCTCCAATAGTGACACCACATTCAGTGGGGAGACCCCGACTTTACGTTTGCTTTGTAGTATTACAGGTAAGTATCTATAAATAAAACCCTTTGTTTTAGAAAGAAAACATCTTGGATGGCTTTCAGGCACATCTCATTGGATGACATATTGAAATGCTCCCGTGAACATCCTAATTTATTGTTCATGTTGTATTTGTTGCTTGTGCAATTGCTGGGTTTTTTTCATAATTTTATTAAGATTTCTATGTTTAAAATCTTAATATAAAGCTCTTTAGTCAATCTTTGATATTTTTCTTTGTGTGCTATTAAAAGAAATGACCTGATTTAATGGACGTAATTTATCAGAACTTCGTGGTGGTGGATGTATCTTGTCTTAAGTCCAATAAAAAGACAAATGTTGTCTGAAGATTAAAAAATATTGCATGAACTGTTTTCAGAGGTTGAGTAACAAATCATCGGTTTACCTTTCAGGTGGTACCACTCCTGCACAATGGGAGGACATCACCGGCTCCACGCCTCTCACTTTTGTTAACCAATGTGTTTCCTTCACCACGAATGTGTCAGCAAGGTAAATCCTTTATTTGTTGGTAAATGACGATGCACAGTTGCAGTCTTACGATTGAAGGTTATAAACGTTTATGCTTAAATTTTTACCTGTTGATACTTACCTAAAAGTGTCGTTCATTTGTAGATTCTGGCTGATAGACTGCAGACAGATCCAGGAGTCTGTTGGTTTTGGCACTCAGGTCTACAGAGAAATCATCTGTGTCCCATACATGGCTAAGTTTGTCATTTTTGCTAAGACACTTGACCCCATTGAGGCTCGCCTACGGTGTTTTTGCATGACAGATGACAAGATGGACAAAACCTTGGAACAGCAAGAAAACTTCACTGAAGTCGCCCGCAGCCGAGATGTTGAGGTGCAGTGTAATACTGGGGAATAAATAAGGCAAATCAAATCAAATTGTGTGCACAGGTTTATCTAACGAGGGTTAGACAGTAATTGAGAAAAGTAGGTCGATGTCAATTAATGATGGTTAAGTGGGTATTTAAAGATTTTAAATCAGACGCAGGTTATTACTGACTGATTCTTATTAATATTGGTTCTTTTTCATTTCTGGAAAGAAATTGAATTATATTGTCCAAGAATTTTTGTTTCTTTTGAGCCATGGAAACATTTAGATTTGTCATATCCTGATACAGGTACTAGAGGGGAAACCTATATTTGCTGACTGCTTTGGAAACCTGGTGCCTCTTACCAAGAGTGGGCAGCATCATGTGTTCAGTTTCTATGCCTTCAAAGAGAACAGACTGGCCCTCTTTATTAAAGTATGACTTTAAATCTATTAAAATATATAAAATGTTTACTTTTTTACTCAGAAATTCACAAATCTAAATATATGCAAGTCAGAGACATATTTTTTCCCCAAATATGAGCAGATTCGAGACACAGCACAGGAGCCATGTGGTCGATTGTCTTTTACCAAGGAACCACGCACGTACCGTAGTCTTAATCTCAATGCAATCTGCAACCTAAACATCACCCTTCCATCATACTCAAAGGTCAGCTTTTAAATATTTTACCATGTATGCTAGGTGATTTTAACTTTAACTTTGAAACTGCCGCATTGCTGATTTCTCCTCATTTTTATTCTTTTATTTAGGAGTCTGATTCAGACCAAGATGGAGATGATGAGGTAAATAAAGTTTGTTTGATTTCAGTCTATAGCAAAAAACCTAGATGGTATAATTAGGTTGCAGCTTACTGTGATTTGACTTCTTTTTTTTTTTTTTCAGAGTGAGAAGAGTGACAAGAAATGTAAGTTGTTATTTTAGTATTTGTGCTCTATTAGAAGTTAGTTTTCTTATATATATTGTCACAATAGACCAAGTATCTAAAATGCATGATAGAAATTCATGTATTGAGACATTGTAAAAACTATTTTCAATAGTAATGGGCCTGTATATTATATGATAGTTATGCATTTATGCATCACAAGATTAACTTGAGATTGCTGGTCATAAATATTTTGAAGTATTAAGTTAAAAGATTTGCCTGTTATATATACTAACTACTAATTACTACTACTAACATTGTATGCAGTTACATGTTTGTAACTGGAGGATATGCTATGGCTGCTATACTTTATGTTCTCCTCACTCCAAACTCCACTGACTTTCCTATCATTTCAATTTTCCACTATATTTGTTTTTATTAATTTCATACAAAGGTCAAAATAGTATTTTTTATATATATCTTCTCAAAATTGTTTGATTCTCTAGCTATTTGTACTTGACATTAATCTTAACTTACAGATAATTATGTTTTATGATAATAACATTTTTTATGTAACAAGTATTTTTTTGACATAATATTTTCTCATGTTAAACCTCAGCAGTTGTACGAGTCGCGTGTAAAAATTGTTATTCACAGAAAAACAAACAATATCATGTTGTTTGTGCTTGATTACTAGCCAATTTATTATTACATAATTCATGTTCTATGATTTTCGTTAGCCACTGCTTTCTCCTTTGTTGTTTTATTTCTTTAAATGTATTATTTTTTTTACTAAGTTACTTTCATTCACTCATTCACACAAATTTTAAATTTGGTTTACACTGTTTTACCTCACTATTTTTATTTTCTATATATGCTATCATGTCACAAAACTATAGGATTCTAGCAGTAACAACTTGTAAGCTATAATATTTAATAATAGTGAACACATCAAATAGAGTGTAAATGCTAAATATAACAGTATTTTATACTAACTAACAATTCTATATATTGTGTTGCTTACAATTAGTAAGTATTGAAAAGAGACTAAAACAGTCAAGTAACAGTGATTCTATTACTTTGCTTACCTCATATTTTCACTCACTCAAATACCTTATAATTTTTTTAATTCAAAGTTTATTATTTAAAAAAAGGGTTTATTTGTTGGCAAACATGACTATAATAGCAACAATCTTGAGAAGTTTTGTTTGTCTGTTTTCAGTCCTTCTTGTACCTTTGTTCCATATGTAGGTTTATCTGTTTCATCTTGTTTTTGGTATATCTTGCAATTCATTTTTAATGCATAGTCAAACAATTTAGATTATTATGGTACTTATTTACATTCTATTCATTTTGTTACACCTCTTGGCTTTGCTTATGCTGTTGCTGCTCTACCGCTCTTCAAGTGTCTGGGAACTACTTTGTCTTCTTTGGTCTTCTTTTTGAGACTTCCTTATTCTCTGCCTTGTCATCTTCTAACTCTGTGAACTGAAGATGGATTTTTGATGGCATTATCTTGGTGACAATTTTCTGATGTCTCTCTCCCCCACTTCATTTGTCCCTTATGTTCTGTACCCTTTTTGGTTCTGAAATATTTTTCACTGAAGACGATGAATCTGAATCGACGGAGACATTCTCCTTAAGAACTAATCAACCTCTTGACCCTGCAACCCTTGCGAGCCCAGATCTCCTGTCAGACACACAAGATGTCAGAATGTCTGCTATCTTTACTCCAGATATCTATGAAGAAAGAGCTGAAACTAATAAATCGGAAGAAAGAGAATCTGTGGCCACTGTAGAACAGTTCAAAGACAGAGTAGAAAAGGCTGGTGAAATTAACGATTGGACGAATGTTAGTAAACTGAGAGGACAACAAATTGATGATATCAAAGATAAATTTTCAATCTATGGGGCCAATACCTTTGAAGAGCCAGTCATAAAAAACATTGAGAAACAAAGTTTAAGTAGATCTTACACAGATGTTAGAGACATCACATTGTTCTCCCCCCCTACCACACAGACAGAAAAATGCCTTGGCCAGAAATCTGCTAGGACATGTGGTTCTCAAGAAGATCTTGTCCAAGATGGATTTGAACAGGTCATTGAGAAGCATGCAAACAAAAAACACCCCCCAGATATCAAGAAACCTATTCGGAAAAAACTTAGAGACAGATCGCGTTCTGGATGTAGCAGTTCTGAGGGAGAGTTGGAAAGGATGAGCTCTGAGGAGTCTTTAGATGGTGATACTATTCTTAAAGAGAGTAGCCTTTTATCCACCCAAGTTGTCGAGCCACCAGCTTCTCCTTTGGTGGTTGAGACACCTATAGGATCAATAAAGGACAGGGTAAAAGCTTTACAGAACAAAGTTGAAGAGGAAGAAGTGCAAAAAGATACTAAAGTCTTTACATACGATGGAAAATCTTCTATTACCACAAAGAAAATGGAGGAAGCTATGCCAGAACTTCCCAGAGTTCCTAAGTCACCCAGATCTCAGACAGAAAGATTAGAGGAAACTATGTCAGTGAAGGACCTTATGAAAGCTTTCCAAACTGGGGAGGACCCGTCAAAGAGTAAATCTGGGCTTTTTGAACACCAATCCTTGCAGTCTTCTTGTATTTCCACATGGATTTCTGAATCGCCAGGTTCGGAAACAGTGCATGATATAGAACAAAGACCTACACAGGAGCCAAAATCACAAATCCAAACTCAATGGCCCACGATTTTCCATCAACAGAGTAGTGTCAAGAAAGGTGATCAAACAGACATCAAGGATGAACCAGCAAACCTAATCAGCTGTAAAGAATCCCAGTTCACTTCAGACAGTGTTTATATTGAAAAGATGGTTACATTTAGTGATACTGTTCAACGAGATGATGAAAGTGTTAGCCCATTGCGAGAAGTATCAAACTTGTCAGAGAAGGAGGGAATCTCTGTGAAACATCTGATAAAAACATTCCAGACTGGGCAAGAAGATCAAAAAAGTAAAGTGGGACCTCATTCAACACTGATATTAGATTCTAATGATTCTGAAGAGAGAGAGACAACTGAACAAAGTCCTACACAGGAGCCAGAATCACAAAGCCAATCTCAGAGACCCACGGTTTTCCATTCAAAGAGTGACGCTGATGTACACGGCATCATAAAGACAGACACAGATGATCAATCACAAAGTTTAATCAAAATGGAACCACAGTTAATTTCAGACATTTCCCTGTTGAGAAAGACAGTTACGTTTGCTGACACAGTTCAGTATGATGCTGTTAGCCCACAGCAAGATGTGCAAGAGTTTTCAGAAAAGCAAAATGTGTCTGTTAAGGAGCTGATGAAAACATTCCAGTCTGTAAAAGACCCCTCAAAAACTAAAGTGGAACTTTTTGAACACAAACCTGTGGCTTCCTCTATTTCAACATTAATATTCCATTCAGGAGATTCTGCAGAGATACAGAGTACTGAACAAAGTCCTACAAAACAGATAAATACTCAAATCCAAAGTCAGACCCTCACAAATGTACATCAACAGAGTGATGCCAAGCAATATGACCAGGCAGAATTGGTTGATCAACCAGTAACCTTAATCAAAAAGGAATCACAGATAATATCAGATATTCCTTATGGAAAGTCACTAATATTTGTAGATACACTTCAGGGTGATCAATTGTGTCTTAATAAGGGGCCAAAGATGTTACATAAAGATGCCATGTCTGTGAAGGAGCTGAGGAAAACATTTGAGTCTCAGAAAGACCCTTTGAAGAGTAAAGTTGGAGCACTAGAGTCAGAGTCAGGCATTAAGTGGAGTGAACACAGTCCCAGAAATGAGCCAAAATTGCAAACCCAAATGCAGAATATCACAACTTTCCAACCGCAGAGAGATGTGAAGGATTTAGAGGCCCAAACTGGCCCTCTACAGAATCCTGAGAGTTCACAACAAATGTTAGATATTTCTTATTTTGGAGAAACAGTAAAAAATCCTTATGGAATTCAGTTAGATGACGGAAGGGTTAGCTCTTGGAGTGATGATTCAGAGTTATCAAGAAGGATAATGCAACTCGAAGAACCGGCTATTAGAAAGAGTATATCTGATGATTCACAGATTAGCCCTGATCGCAGACCTTCTGAGGACTTTAGTGCAGACATAAAAGCTGAGCTGGAGGAATGTCCAAAGTACCAGCAGTTCAAGCAAACAGCTTCAGATGTCAGACATCAACTTGAGACACCTGAAGAGGAGAGCTTTGCTCAGGATTCTGATACTTATTTTGAGGAAGACATAAGTCCCAAGTATCTTGAGAGTCACACACATAAAGGCATTGATAAATCCTCAGAGACTAGTGTTATTACAACATATCACTCCAGCACTGGTGAGAGAGACAGTTCTGAAGGACTCATGTCAGGACTGAGCAATGAAATCCATTCGTACTCTACTAAAGAAGATGGAATGTACATTATACCATCAGAGGAAGATCAAATCCAAGTAGAGATAAAAACATCTAGTCAGGCTGATGTAATTAGAGAGAAAGAACTCATGCCAACTTCAGTAACTGAGACTTCACTCGAGGAGGTTTGCATTGACAAAAAGGTACATCAGCAATCATATGAGCAATCTGCAAAACCAAAAGAGATGGCAGGGATGCTATCCCTGCTGAACAGTGACCTGGATCAGTACCTCAAGGACAAGCCAGTGAAAAGTGAGCATGCAGAGGAGGTTGTTGTTCAGGAAAACTTTGAACAAGTTATTCACACCAAAATACATCAGTCTTCTAGTGCTGATATGAAGGATGATATTAATGATGAAGAGACACAGATTGATGTGGCTAAAGTAAAAGAACTAACACCATGTTCTATATCAGAGACTCCATTTCAAGAAACTTGCATTCAGAGAAACTTAAGCCTACAACAGTCTTCAACGGAAAAGCAATCTACATCTGAGAAAAATATGTCTGGCATGTTGTCACTTCTCAATAATGACTTAAATCAACATCTTCAGGAAAGGCCAATGGCAGTACAATCTGAACCAGAAGAAGATCTAGTCCATGAAAGTTATGAAGAAACTGTATTGTCAAGTAATGATTTACAGGACAAACTAGGTGGTGAGGAAAATGAAGTCCTGCAGACTAATGTAATTACAGAGAAAGGACTCACACCAACTCCTGTGAGTGAGACTCCATTTCAAGAAAATTGCACTGAGAGAAACTTAAAACAACAAGAATCTGCAAGTGAAAAGAATATGTCAGGCCTGATATCACTTCTTAGCAGTGACCTAGTTCAACATCTCAAAGAAAAGCCAGTGACAATACAATCCCAACCACAAGAAGAGCTAGTCCATGAGAGGTTCCAACAAGTCATATTGACACGTGATGATTCGGAGGGCAAAATAAAGGGAGAGCCAAATGAAGAGCTTCAGACAGATGTAATTGGAGACAGAGAATCAGTGTTGGAAACTCCATTCCAAGAAGTTTGCATAGAGACAACGGCACACCACCAGCAATCTACATCTGAAAAAAATATGTCTGGCATGTTGTCACTTCTTAGCAGTGACTTAGATCAACATCTTGAGGAAAAGTCTGTGGTAGTGCAATCTGAACCAGAAGAGGATGTAGTCCATGAGAGATGTGAACAAACTATAGTGAAAAGCAATGATTTACAGGTCAAAATAGGGGAAGAAATCGAAGAGCTGCAGACTGATGTAATGGAAGGAGAGAAATACAGTTTGGTAGAAACTCCATTCCAAGAGTTTGCACAGAGAGAAAGGCACACCACCAGCAATCTACATCTGAAGAAAAATATGTCTGGCATGTTGTCACTTCTTAGTCAGTGACTTAGATCAACATCCGAGGAAAAGTCTGTGGTATGCGTCTGAACCAGGAGGAGATCTAGTCTGTGAGAGATGGGAACAAATTATAATAAAAAGTAATGATTTACAGGTCAAAATAGGGGAGGAGCCAACTGAAGACCCACAGACTGATGAATTAGAAAGAAAGAGACTCATGCCAACTTCAGTAACTGAGACTCCATCCAGGAGGTTTGCATTGACAAAAAGGGACATCAAGCAATCATATGAGCAATCCTCAAAACCAAAAGAGATGGCAGGGATGCTATCCCTGCTGAACAGTGACCTGGATCAGTACCTCAAGGACAAGCCAGTGAAAAGTGAGCATGCAGAGGAGGTTGTTGTTCAGGAAAACTTTGAACAAGTTATTCACACCAAAATACATCAGTCTTCTAGTGCTGATATGGAGGATGAGATGAATGCACAGACAGATGAACAGACACCGATTAATGTGGCTGAAGTAAAAGAACTAACACCATGTTCTATATCAGAGACTCCATTTCAAGAAACTTGCATTCAGAGAAACTTAAACCAACAACAGTTTACAACTGAGAAGAATATGTCAGGTATGGTATCACTTCTTAGCAGTGACCTAGTTCAACATCTCAACGAAAAGTCAGTGACAATACAATCCCAACCACAAGAAGAGCTAGTCCATGAGAGGTTCCAACAAGTCATATTGACAAGTGATATTTCAATAGACATGATAAGGGGAGAACCAAGTGAAGACCTTCAGACAGATGTAAGTGGAGGCAGAGAACTAACACCAAGTTCAATGGTGGAAACTTCATTCCAAGAAATTTACATAGAGAGAAAGTCACAGCACCAGCCATCTGCATCTGAGAAAAACATGTCTGGCATGCTATCACTTCTGAGTCATGACTTAGATCAACATCTTCAGGAAAAGTCTGTGGCAATGCAATCTGAACCAGAAGAGCATCTAGTCCACGAGAGATGTGAACAAATTATATTGTCAAGTAATGATTTACAGGACAAAATAGACGGTGAGGCAAATAAAAACCTGCACACTGATGTAATTAGAGAGAAAGAAATCATGCCAACTTTGGCAAGTGAGACTCCATTCCAGGAAGTTTGCCTTGAAAAAAAGGTACAATATCAACAATCATACGATCCATCTACAGAACCAAAGGAGATGTCAGGCATGCTATCCCTGCTGAACAGTGACTTGGATCAGTACCTCAAGGACAAGCCAGTGAAAAGTGAGCCTACAGAGGAGGTTGTTGTTCAGGAGAATTTTCAGCAAGTTATTCAAACCAAAATACATCAGTCTTCGAGTGCTGATATGGAGGATGAGAAAGGTGCACAGATGCATGACCAGACACAGATTGATGTGGCTGAAGTAAAAGAACTAACACCATGTTCTATATCAGAGACTCAATTTCAAGAAACATGCATTGACAGAAATTTAGAACAACCAAAGTCTACTACTGAGAAGAATATGTCAGGTATGGTATCACTTCTTAGCAGTGACCTAGTTCAGCATCTCAACGAAAAGTCAGTGACAATACAATCCCAGCCACAGGAAGAGCTAGTCCATGAGAGGTTTCAACAAGTCATATTGACACGTGATAATTTGGGGGGCAAAATAGAGGGAGAATCAAAGGAAGAGCTTCAGACAGATGTAATTGGAAACAGAGAATCAGCTTTGGAAACGTCATTCCAAGACGTTTGCATAGAGACAAATGTGCATCACCAGCAATCTACATCTGAGAAAAATATGTCTGGCATGTTGTCACTTCTTAGTCATGACTTAGATCAGCATCTTCAGGAAAAGTCTGTGGTAGTGCAATCTGAACCAGAAGAGGTTGTAGTCCATGAGAGATGTGAACAAACTACTGTGAAAAATAATGATTTACAGGTCAAAATAGCAGAAGAGGCAAATGAAGAGCTTCAGACAGATGTAATTGAAAACATGCTCTGAGCTGGGAAGCATAATCTTCATATACAGCAGTCTTTGCTGGGATCTTAACGTCTGCATTGTTTGACTGAGTAGGACTTCCCTCAAGAGAGTCTGGACAAGGAGATTCTTTGGTAGGGCTTGGTTCAATTGAATCAGGGGATTTCTGTGATGATTTATCCTCCACAAGAGGGCTAGCTTCTAGTGAATCTCGATGACATGACTCATTAGCTGGGTCATCAAATACAACAGTGTTTAGATTTTCTAAATCAGCCGGTCGCTGTAGTGTGTTAAAACTACTTGGTACTTGAAAAAGAACAGAATCAGAGACAGCAACACTAACATCTTCATGGTCACTTTTATAGTCATGTGCATCCACCATCCATTCCGTTTTAATTTCCTCAGATGAAAAACTCTTCAGGCCTTCATCTTCTTTAGAACATGTGTGCCAACCACTTTCTAAAGGTTGTTTTTTAGTGATATCCAGGCTGTCAAAAATTGTATCTCCTGGTGACATCATTTTATGTTCAGGAGATAAGGCATGAGTTTCTTGTTTGAAATCCTTTATTGCTATAACTTGCTTGTAGCTCTCATGGACTAGTTCCTCTTCTGGTTCAGATTGCACTACTGCTGACTTTTCCTGAAGATGCTGATCTAAGTCATGACTAAGAACTGATAGCATGCCAGACATATTTTTCCCAGTTGTAGATGGCTGGTGGTGCGCCTTTCTCTCTATGCAAATTTCTTGGAATGGAGTTTCTACCACTGAACTTAGTATTTCTCTGCCTACCATTACATCAGTCTGCAGCTCTTCGATTTCTTCTTCTGATATTTTGACCTGTAAATCATTACTTTTTATGGTAGTTTGTTCACATCTCTCATGGACTACATCCTCTTCTGGTTCAGATTGCACTACCACAGACTTTTCCTCAAGATGTTGATCTAAGTCACTGCTAAGAAGTGACAACATGCCAGACATATTTTTTTCAGATGTAGATTGCTGGTGGTGTGCCGTTGTCTCTATGCAAACTTCTTGGAATGGAGTTTCCAACACTGATTCTCTGTCTCCAATTACATCTGTCTGAAGCTCTTCGTTTGCCTCTTCTGCTATTTTGACCTGTAAATCATTATTTTTCACAGTAGTTTGTTCACATCTCTCATGGACTACATCCTCTTCTGGTTCAGATTGCACTACCACAGACTTTTCCTCAAGATGTTGATCTAAGTCACTGCTAAGAAGTGACAACATGCCAGACATATTTTTTTCAGATGTAGATTGCTGGTGGTGTGCCTTTGTCTCTATGCAAACTTCTTGGAATGGAGTTTCCAACACTGATTCTCTGTCTC